CGCCGTAGCTTCCAAAACCATGCAAATTTTAACCAGAAAGGATATAGGCGAGGAAGTGGATATTTCACGGGAAGTAGACATCAAAACTCCTACCGCCAACAATATGGGCCAACTCAACAATGTTTTCTACCCCCTCGCGGTATTAGCAATAAGCCCCCAGGGAATGTAGTACAGCCTAATAACTTCCAACAAAGGGGACGTGGAGGCTACCGGCCGCCCCAGCGTATACCAGGTACTAGGACTTTGGATGGGCGGCCGAAATGTTATGTTTGCAGCAAACCAGGGCACTATGCAAATTCTTGCTACTATCGCGTCAGCCAAAACAACAGCAACAACCCAAATGGAACAGGACGAGTCCAATAGGCCCGAGTCTCGTCTTATCCACTGAAAGGGCCAGATTCCCACATCACAAGGGCGTACTTACAGTAAATATGTACGTTAATGGAAAAAATATTAATGCCATTGTAGATACTGGATCAGCTAGTAATATAATTAGAGCTGATCATGTAAACTATATCAATAAAAACGATATTCGGCCTTTATTAGCTGTTGGGAACATAAGGGTATCCACTTTAGGAAAAAGTATCATTAACCTAGACCTAAGTGGACAAAAAACTTCCTGTGAGGCATTAGTGGTAGAAAAACTCCCAATACCGTTAATTTTAGGTATGCAATTCTTAAGGAATCATCAAGCCATCATTGATTTACGAAAAGATCAAATTGACCTTTTTAATAGAGGGTTACATGCAGTGGTGCCAATTTTGAAAGACACATTTCAAGACGAGTACACCAGTTGTCAGGTATCTGCTGTCCAAGAACCGTGTAATATTGACTTTAAACAGTTATATAAAGAAGAATGTCTTCAAACCATAAAGTTATCAGCAAGAATACTGGAAGATCGAAATAAATTTAATAAAAGCGACAGGAAACCCAATGGGCCAAATGCAAAGGCTCAGACGAGAGACTACGAAGTAAGCCTAAGGAGTCACAAGCAACAAATAAAAGGAGATACGTGGAATAATCAAGAAGCTGAAGGGACCAAAAGTTATAATGGAAACAATGTAAATATGGAAAATAACTCTAAGGAAAATGAAATAAAATTTTTTATTAGAGATGATGACAAAGGAATAACCGAAAATGATAATTTAAATGAAAAAAAGGTAAATATTTGTATGGCAGCAACTGAGGAAGAAGGAAGCTCAGAAGATTTTATGGAAAGTAACCTGTTTACAAATATTGATATTTCAGTTAAGGAGTCACCAATTAAACTATGTTTACCATATGATATTATATTAAAACCATGGACAAATAACGAAATTAAAATTTGCACGCAAGTGAATTTTCATGATTTTGACGTTACGATGAACGAAAAATTCTTGGTGAAAAAAGGAGTAGTTGGCCTGATGAAGCCATCAGTTTCTGACAGACAATTGAAACTAGTTTTAACAAATTTTAACAATAGAGATATAAAGCTATTCAAAGGAACAGCAGTTGGATGGTACTCTCCAATAAATTTTGAGGAAACAGAATCCCTCATTTTATATACGATTCCAAGCGAAGATGAAGTTACACTTGTTGACCATGATTTAAGTCATATTCGAGATGAAGAATTCAGGAAACGATTTGAGACACTACTGGAAGATTATAACGATGTTTTTTCAAAATCTGCAAGAAAAATGGGGCGAACCTCCCTTTCGTCACACACAATTGAGGTAGAAGGAGCTAACCCAATTAAAAGTCGACCATACAGGGTATCTCAGAAGGAGAGGGAAATCATAGATCAGCAAATAAAGGAAATGTTGGAAAATCAGATTATAAGACCCTGTCACTTTCCATGGGCTAGCCCAGTAGTCTTGGTTAAGAAAAAAGATGGCTCACGTAGATTTTGCGTCGACTACAGAAAATTAAATTCAGTGACCAAGAAATCATCATATCCGCTGCCCAACATCGATGATATTCTTACATACATGGGAGGAGCTCGGTATTTTTCCACGCTAGACATGTTTAGCGGTTATTGGCAAGTGCCCATAGAAGAAAAATCCAAACCATATACAGCCTTTATAGCCCAAGGTCATGGCACATATGAATTCAATGTCCTTTCTTTTGGATTATGTAACGCCCCAGCTACATTTCAGCATTTGGCAGATGAAGTTTTTAGGGGAATGAAGTGGAACGAAATTCTCATATATTTAGATGACATTGTGATCTTCTCTAGAACCAAAGAAGAGCACCTGGATAAGTTATCTAGAGTTTTCCAAAGGATTCGGGAAGCTGGTCTAACCTTGAAGCCTAGCAAATGCAGATACATGGAAAAAAGTGTTAAAATTCTAGGACATAAAGTAAGTGACAAAGGGATTGCCCCAGATGAAGATTTGCTTAGGGCTATACAGGAATTTCCTACCCCTAAAAAGACTAAACAACTTCAAAGCTTTTTGGGTTTATGCAATTTTTATAGGAAATTTATAAAAAATTTCTCGAAGATAGCTCATTCTCTTCATCTAGCGACCCGTAAAGATGGATTTATATGGGAAAAAGCACAGGAAGAGGCTTTCATTTGCTTAAAAAATAAGCTAACTTCAGCTCCAGTGCTGCAACATTTTAACCCAAATATAGGGTGCGAACTAAGAGTAGATGCATGTATAGTTGGAATTGGAGGAATTTTACTCCAAGAGGGAGACGATGGTGAACAACATCCCATAGCATTTATCAGCCGAGGGTTATCAAAAAGTGAGCAAAATTATACTATCACAGAATTGGAAGGGTTAGCAGCAATTTGGTCCCTTACTTACCTAAGGCATCTTATACATGGAAAACCAGTGAAAATTGTAACCGATCACCACGCTTTATGCTGGTTAAAATCTTTAAAGGACCCGTCAGGAAGGTTGGCTAGATGGGCCCTAAAACTTTCAGAATTCGACTATGAAGTCGTACACAAGAGTGGCAAGAGACATAGTGATGCTGATTGTTTGTCCCGAAATCCTGTTGATCAACCTTCAGATTTAATGGAGGAAAATGAAGTCCCGACCTTCCTTATAGTACCCGAAGACCTAGAAATGGAACAAAAGAAAGATCCAGATTTACAGTTAATCTTTCAAGCTTTACAAAACCCCTCGTCATAATACAATATAATCTTACTATAGTCTACAATTTTTGTTTATTTTTACTTACAATTATTAAAAAGTGCTAGAAGCTAGAACTCTTCGGATCTTAATGTAGAGAGAGCCAAGTTATCATTTAAAAGAATTGTACATTCTAGAACTAGTCATAATATGACATCATCTCACTATACCCTATAATTTCTGTATATTATTAATACTTAATTTTTTTAAAAAAGTGCTAGAGGCTAGAATTCTTCGGGATTCCATGCCTAGTTATCACCAAAAAGCGTTATATATTTTAGAACTCGTCATAATATGCCAGCATCTCACTATGGTATATAATTTCTGTTCATTATTAATACTTGCAATTATTTAAAAAGTGCTAGAGGCTAGGACTCGTCAGGTCTCAATGCAGAGAGGAACAGGTTATCATTTAAACGCAATATATATTCTAGAACTCGATATAATATGACAGCATCTTACTATAGTCTATAATTTATGTTAACTTTTATTACTTAAAATTATTTAAATAGGTCTAGAGGCTAGAACTAGTCGAGATTCCATGCAGACATAGTCTATTTCTCACTTAAAAGCGTAAAAAATTCTATAACTCGTTATAATGTGCCAGCATCTCACTATGGTCTATAATTTCTGTTTATTATTACACAAAATTATTGAAAAATTTATCATTTGTCAATTTAAAAGCAATATGTGCCCTAGAAGTTGTCATAATATGGCAGCATTTTACTAACGTCTAGAACTTATATTTATAATAATCTTTTATAATATATAAAAGCGAAATTCCACTCACTGACTCATCACGAGATCTCCAAAACTATAAGCCCGATTGATTTGAAAAAACCCCACACAAATCTTATGGAAATTCGCTCCCAGTCAAATTGGCTGAAATTTGGATATTTTGTTCGTTTCGGCATCCTGAGCAAAAGTGCACAATTGGCACAAAGCTCAATTTTTCTTATTTTAGCTCCTACGGAGCTCCAAAGCTCCACGGATTGACCATTATTTACTACTTAAAAAGGCCATCTCCTCGAAAGTATAGTATTTGCTGCGTTAAAAAAGAAATACCTTCTTATGTTTTTGGAGTCGCTGCATTCAAATCCAATGCCAATATAATAATATTGACAGTTGACAGCTTTCAACTAGCTGTCAAACAACAAGCAAATATCAAAATTGATAAAATCCACATCTAAATATCTCTTTTTGAGGTTGGTAAGTTTAAAACTGATGTTAAAAACTCGATATTGATAGTTGACAGCTGCCAACTAACTGTCAAACAGTATGTGACAATCAAAATTGACAAAATTCAGGAGTATATAGATGTCTTCGAGGTTGCTGAGTTTAAAACTGATGTCAAAAAGACGATATTGACCGTCAACTGCTGTCAACTAACTGTCAAACATCATGTGACAATCAAAATTAATAAAATTCATATGTAAATATATGTCTTCGAGGTTGCCGAGTTCAAAATTGATGTCAAAAAGACGATATTGACAGTGATCAGCTGTCAACTTACTGTCAAACAGCAAAATTAATAAAATCCACATGTAAATATATGTTTTTGAGGTAGCTGAGTTCAAAACTGATGTTAACAACTCGATATTGATAGTTGACAGCTGTCAAATAATTGTCAAACCACCACAATATTTATTTCTACCGTCGGCGTTAGCGTTACCCGATGTACACCACGTAGGAGGTCGCGCGATCGGTTTTTGTACATCTTTCTATGATTTCACGATATTTTTCATCAACTTATTTATAATAAAGGACGATATATATCGTCCTATTTTAGGAATAGTTAAAGAAAAATTAGCACGAACTCCGATTTGAGTCTTTTAGATTTTTATCAATGCATTTAGGAAAATATGTAATATTACAGTTTAGTTATCGTGGACGGTTTCTTGCGTCTCGAATAATATTAACGATACTAGTTGATGGATAACGAATATTAGGTTCGTGCCTTGCATATCCTAAGAACCATAGGACACTTGCAACATGGGCATAAGTACCAACAGTACGAGCACCGGACCAACAAGTGCAATAATAACCGAAAATGGGTTCTTCATTCCTGTTGAATTCATAATCTTCCTCGCTTTCATCAATCTCATCATTTGGTTTAAAGGTAAATGCAAAGCTGATGTTTTGTGGCATTTCGGAATCGAGAATAAATTCTAACTCTGAAGAAACCTCGCTCGGGCAAGTTGTCCTCTCCTCTAAGCATTTCAAACTGAAACTCTTCATCTGCGTTTCTTTGGAGCTTGTTTTGCACGTAAGAGGGTGCAAGCCTTACTTGATATACCCCAATGGTCAAATCTTGTAAATATTGTGGTGGTTTGATAGTTATTTTACAGCTGTCAACTGTCAATATCGAGTTTTTTACATCCGTTTTGAACTCAGCTGCCTCAAAAACGTATATTTACATATTGTCACATGCTGTTTGACAGTTAGTTGACAGCTGATCACTGTCAATATCGTCTTTTTGACATTAATTTTGAACTCAGCAACCTCGAGCTGCCAACTATTAATATTATTATATTGGCATTGGCTTTGAATGCAGCGACTCCGAAAACCTAAGAAGGTACTTCTTTTTTAACGCAGCAAATACTAAACTTTCGAGGAGATTGCCTTTTTAATTAGTAAAAAATGGTCAATCTGTGGTGCTTTGGACCTCCGTAGGAGCCAAAATAAGCAAAATTGAGCTTTGTGTTTATTGAGACTTTTGCTCAGGATGCTGAAACGAACAACGTATCCAATTTCAGCCAATTTGACCAGGAACCAATTTCCATAAGATTTGTGCGGGGTTCTTTGACATAGTTACTTCTTTCTCGACATAGACACCCACTAAGAACGAATTTTACAAACGTCACATTTTAAGGGTGGGAAACGGGGGGAGAAAGTTTTATGGAACAATTGATTTTTTTTTTAAGGTAGGAATTTAAAAATTTGAATTGTAACTACTTATCATAAATAAATAATGATGTAATACACGGTTTTTGGATTTTTACATTTTAGGGGGAGGAAATGGGGTGAATTGGGGGTGAAATTTTTTATGGGGGTATAGATTTTTTAAAGGTAGGATTTTAAAAATTGGAATTATAATTACTCATCATAAATAAATAATGAGGTATTTCAGGATTTTTACATTTTAAGGGGGGAAATTAGGGTTGTAAGTTTGTAGGGAGTATCGATTTTTAACCGACTTCTTAAAAGGAGGAGGTTCTCAATTCGTCGCAATATTTTTTTTTATGTATGTTCAGCGATAATTCTTTAACACGGTGTCCGATTTTTTTGTTAGAAAGGGGGTACTTCAAGGGTAGTACCATATAAAATTGGTTAAAATCTAATAATTGGGTCCATGAGAAAATCCCTAAACTCTTCATTTTTTATGTATGTTTAGCGATAATGGTTTAGCGATAATGCTTTAGCGATAATGCTTTACCACCTTGTCCGATTTATATGATTTTTTTTTGTTATAAGGGGTGGTCCCATATAAATTTGGTTAAGATGTGGTGATGGCATGTGCACGTTATTGAAGTCGGTTTTTAAATTTTTAATTTCTTATACATGTTTTAAAGGTAAAAACTTAAAAATTGGAATTGTAGCTACCCATCATAAATAAATAATTATGTATTTCAGGGTTTTTGGATTTCTACATTTTAAGGTGGGAAACGGGGGTGAACGTTTGTATGGGAATATAAATTTTTTTAGAGGTAGGAACTTGAAAATTGGAATTGTAGCTACTCATCACAAATAAATAATGATATATTTCAGACTTTTTGTATTTTTATATTTTAAGGGCGAGAAATTGGGGGTAAAATTTTGTAGGAATATCTTTCTTTTAAAGGTAGAAATTTAAAAATTAGAATTTTAGCTACCAATTATAAATAAATTATGATGTATTTCAGGATTTTTAAATTTTCACATTTTAAAGGGGAAAAGAGGGAGTGAAAGTTTGTATGGGAGTATCGGTTTTCTTAAGGTGGAACTTGAAAATTGGAATTGTGCCTACACATAAATAATTAAATAATGACCTGTTTTAGGGTTTTGGATTTTAAAATTGCAAGGGGGGAAACTATAAAATAGAAATAAATAAAAATGAATAAAAATAATAATAAATAAAAATAAATAAAAATAAATAAAAATAAATAAAAATAAATAAAAATAAATAAAAATAATTAAAAATAAATAAAAATAAATAAAAATAAATAAAAATAAATAAAAATAAATAAAAATAAATAAAAATAAATAAAAATAAATAAAAATAAATAAAAATAAATAAAAATAAATAAAAATAAATAAAAATAAATAAAAATAAATAAAAATAAATAAAAATAAATAAAAATAAATAAAAATAAATAAAAATAAATAAAAATAAATAAAAATAAATAAAAATAAATAAAAATAAATAAAAATAAATAAAAATAAATAAAAATAAATAAAAATAAATAAAAATAAATAAAAATAAATAAAAATAAATAAAAATAAATAAAAATAAATAAAAATAAATAAAAATAAATAAAAATAAATAAAAATAAATAAAAATAAATAAAAATAAATAAAAATAAATAAAAATAAATAAAAATAAATAAAAATAAATAAAAATAAATAAAAATAAATAAAAATAAATAAAAATAAATAAAAATAAATAAAAATAAATAAAAATAAATAAAAATAAATAAAAATAAATAAAAATAAATAAAAATAAATAAAAATAAATAAAAATAAATAAAAATAAATAAAAATAAATAAAAATAAATAAAAATAAATAAAAAATAAATAAAAATAAATAAAAATAAATAAAAATAAATAAAAATAAATAAAAATAAATAAAAATAAATAAAAATAAATAAAAATAAATAAAAATAAATAAAAATAAATAAAAATAAATAAAAATAAATAAAAATAAATAAAAATAAATAAAAATAAATAAAAATAAATAAAAATAAATAAAAATAAATAAAAATAAATAAAAATAAATAAAAATAAATAAAAATAAATAAAAATAAATAAAAATAAATAAAAATAAATAAAAATAAATAAAAATAAATAAAAATAAATAAAAATAAATAAAAATAAATAAAAATAAATAAAAATAAATAAAAATAAATAAAAATAAATAAAAATAAATAAAAATAAATAAAAATAAATAAAAATAAATAAAAATAAATAAAAATAAATAAAAATAAATAAAAATAAATAAAAATAAATAAAAATAAATAAAAATAAATAAAAATAAATAAAAATAAATAAAAATAAATAAAAATAAATAAAAATAAATAAAAATAAATAAAAATAAATAAAAATAAATAAAAATAAATAAAAATAAATAAAAATAAATAAAAATAAATAAAAATAAATAAAAATAAATAAAAATAAATAAAAATAAATAAAAATAAATAAAAATAAATAAAAATAAATAAAAATAAATAAAAATAAATAAAAATAAATAAAAATAAATAAAAATAAATAAAAATAAATAAAAATAAATAAAAATAAATAAAAATAAATAAAAATAAATAAAAATAAATAAAAATAAATAAAAATAAATAAAAATAAATAAAAATAAATAAAAATAAATAAAAATAAATAAAAATAAATAAAAATAAATAAAAATAAATAAAAATAAATAAAAATAAATAAAAATAAATAAAAATAAATAAAAATAAATAAAAATAAATAAAAATAAATAAAAATAAATAAAAATAAATAAAAATAAATAAAAATAAATAAAAATAAATAAAAATAAATAAAAATAAATAAAAATAAATAAAAATAAATAAAAATAAATAAAAATAAATAAAAATAAATAAAAATAAATAAAAATAAATAAAAATAAATAAAAATAAATAAAAATAAATAAAAATAAATAAAAATAAATAAAAATAAATAAAAATAAATAAAAATAAATAAAAATAAATAAAAATAAATAAAAATAAATAAAAATAAATAAAAATAAATAAAAATAAATAAAAATAAATAAAAATAAATAAAAATAAATAAAAATAAATAAAAATAAATAAAAATAAATAAAAATAAATAAAAATAAATAAAAATAAATAAAAATAAATAAAAATAAATAAAAATAAATAAAAATAAATAAAAATAAATAAAAATAAATAAAAATAAATAAAAATAAATAAAAATAAATAAAAATAAATAAAAATAAATAAAAATAAATAAAAATAAATAAAAATAAATAAAAATAAATAAAAATAAATAAAAATAAATAAAAATAAATAAAAATAAATAAAAATAAATAAAAATAAATAAAAATAAATAAAAATAAATAAAAATAAATAAAAATAAATAAAAATAAATAAAAATAAATAAAAATAAATAAAAATAAATAAAAATAAATAAAAATAAATAAAAATAAATAAAAATAAATAAAAATAAATAAAAATAAATAAAAATAAATAAAAATAAATAAAAATAAATAAAAATAAATAAAAATAAATAAAAATAAATAAAAATAAATAAAAATAAATAAAAATAAATAAAAATAAATAAAAATAAATAAAAATAAATAAAAATATTTAAAAACAAACTTCTTGCGCCCTGATATGAAAAATATGAATAGTGAATTGATAAATCTCGATGTCCCGACAGGCTAAGGGAGGACTGCTTTTCTCAAGGAAAGTTTTATGAGACCTATTAGAAAGTCAGTTTCATATGCAGATGAGAGCCGTACTAGAAATAGGTATAAAAATAGATTGTCAATTAGATTATTATACTTAAATGTCAGATTACTCTACTTAACTCTAATCGATAGTACTATCACGTATATACCAAGAACCCCAAAAAATTAGTACTAATGATGAAATATATGACATTTTTTTTTATAAAATATTAAATATATAAGAGTACTAGATATTATAGCAAAAAGTAGACAATTTCAAAGTTTCACATTTCTAAGGAATTTACTGAGCAAAGCATTTTTTAAAACTGGTAGTATGGAGAATTTGGTTGTTTGATTGATGAGTTATTACACCTTTAAATAGCTTTAGAGATGAAGCTATATCAGTTGAAGTATTTCAGGCCTTCTTAAATACTTAAGACACAGAACCGTTACTTACAATGAGATTTACTGAAGTACCTAATCAAATATTTTAACAATTTAATTCTTGTATTTAAATATTTTAGCAAAGTTGGTCTTGAATTTTTTTAGTATAGGTATGTATCTCTACTGATATTGTGACTTCTCCATATTATTATGCCTTTGCAGATTTAATTTTTTCAAT